TCACGAGAACTTGTTATATCACCTGCAGGAAATTACTTTCCATCTGACATCGATATCCGATTGTACTCAGATCACAAATTCCACTTGCCCCCCCAGACCCTTTGCTTCTTACACACACAAGTTAGCGGTTACTGTCTGATTGCTTTCTCCATGTTTGCATGTGTAAGATCTTGTTTTTTGCACACTCACCACATGTGTAAGATCTTGAGCGCTCGATGAATGCGGATATGAAACCCCTGTTCAGGGCTCTTGTCTCCTCCCGGACATTGGCCTCTCTCGTATTCAATCCTGCATCTGCTCTCTTGCTGGACAAGAGAGAACTCCAGACTCATAGTCTGTGACACCCAACGAAGTTCAATTCACAATGCCTGTCACCCAGTCAGAAATTATCACGGACGTGAAGAGGCAAGAAAATCTGACACATAGTGAGGATTAAAAAAAAAAAAAAAAACAATCCAGAAATGACCTACACTATAGAGTTAGTCTACAAGTACATTTGAGCAGTGATACAACTGTATTCCATATGTTCCAGAACTAAAGACTAAATATTGTAACTGGAGACATGGAAGATCTAGAAAAAGACCCAAATGCACCTTCTAGAAATGAACATTATAATGTATGAAGTGAAAAGCACACGGGATGGGATTAACAGCAGATCACACATTGCAGGATGAAAGATAAGAAAAAATTTTAAATCAGCCAAAATGAAACACAGAGGGAAAAACATACTGAAATACAATTAAGAGCATCAGTGAGCCATGGGACAACTTTAAGCAACCTAATATCTTTGTATTTGGAATCCCTGGAGGGAAGAGGCACAGAAAAAAATTCAGAAATACGGTTAAGATTTTCCCATATGTTCAGGTAAGACTGACACAGAAGACAGTGAACTAGTCAGATGCTTGCATTTAAACCTGTAAAACACCATGACAGTGACAGCTAAAACGCAGAGCGTTGCAGGAGGGGTGATACTGGGGATTTCAAATCAAATACGACATGTGGTTTTCTTCCTTGGACAGGACTGTCTGGTCTATTTCAGGATGTTCCTCAATCCTAAATATCACCCCCCAAGAATGTCAGTAATGCCTCCCAATCATTGTGCCCCAAAAACAAAATATCACTCCCTGAGTGAGGTTCCATTTCTTTGACAACTACTGGTCTAGAATAGACCAGGGGCAGCAACCGATGGCCTACCCATGGGCTGCATTTGCATGTCCTGTGAGCTAAGAATGGCCTCCCATATTGAAAGGTTGTGCAGGGGAGGAGAAGAAAGAGGGAGGGAAAAAGAAAAGGAAAAGTGGCAGACGACATATGGCCCACGATGCCTAAAACAAGATTTGATGACCCCTGGTCTAGGTTCCAGAGGAAAAAGGAATTCCCTATGGTCCATAAGGAGTTTACGAGGTTTTCGGGTGATAGTGGGGTGTGTGGGGTCCGGAGCCCAGGGCCAAGAAAGAATTCTTGAAGATGTATTTGGTGCAAAAAGGTGACTTTATTGAAGCATGGGGACAGGACCCGTGGGCAGGAAGAGCTGCCCCGGGACCATGAGGAGAGACTGCTTTTATACTATGGGGCTGGGCTGGGAGGAGGAAAAGTCCAGGGGAAGTTTCCAGTGAGATTTTCATCCGCCAAAGAAGACTCCCAGGATACGGGAGGCCTAGCTATTGTCAAGCTAAGGTGAAGGTTCTTGCCTCCAGCAAAGCATTAAAAAGACAGTAAGGAGTTCCTGGAGAATGTTTTACTCTGCCAGCCTTAAGTATTTGTCAATGGGCTGCAGGTTAGAAGGAAATTGAGTTCTACCTGCTGTTTCCTTCTGCCTTTATTCCCCACATCACTAGGGAGGGGTGATGGAGACTTAGGTCCTGCAGGACTGTGAGCTCAGTCAGTTTAACCGTTTGTTTACCCCTTTCCTTTGTTCTTGGGCAGCCAGGAGTGCCCGAGGAATATCACACAAATCCCCCGGAGGTGGGGGGAGGTGTTGTTTGCAGCCTGTCAGCCTGCCTGATGCTCCCTTATCAGGGAGTGTATCTGTGTGTATCTGTTAGGATTCAGAGAAGCAGAGCCCCTGTGAAGAAAGGACTTCTTACAGGGCCCAGACTTTATGCAATTAGGAGAGCCGGTGAAGGAGTCCAGAGCAGGTGGTGGTGGCTGGAAGTTACCGCAGCTTGACGGAGCCATCGGACAGGAAGAAAGGCTGCACACGAAGTGGGGGAAAGGCAAGTACACACTGGAACCCACCAGAACCAACTGGAACTCATGAGGACAAACTAGAACCCATGGGTCGCCCCACCTCCGATGGCAGCGATGGCAGCGACCTGACGCCCTCTGCAGGGCTGCACACGTGCCCTCATGGCTCCTGCGTGTTCTCATAACACCTTAGGTTTACCCACAGTGCCCCCGTCACGCGGTCGGTCGTGTCCTTGCCCGCTCCCTTGTCTGTGGCCTCGGCTGCTCTGGGAGACCTGGAGGCGGGGCTTCGCCTGGAGGCGGGGCTTCGCCTGTCGTCCTCATCACCGTATCCCTTGCTCCCAGCAAAAGACTTAAACGCGGAGTAAACTGCTCAATCAGTATTTTCTGGACGCATGAGGGAAATATAAACTGCATATCGAGTGAAAACGAAGCTGGGCGGCCACGAAGCACGTGACTGATTCAACAGAAGCTTGCTCCTCTTACTCCACAGGCGCGAATTCTAATTTGAGGGGTTCTGTGGTTACTTCCTGTTACTATGCCGGCCTGGGGGGTAGACAAGGGCAACGCTTTATGTAAAGAGGGAGAGCTCCCCCAAAGGGTGTCCCTGACCACGTCTGTCCTTGGGAAGTGATGGCACACATGGCCTGCTCCTCACACCAGAAGGCTGAACCCCAGTGGCAGGAGCCCTGCATCGGGGCACCTCTTGGCAGGAAAGAAACAGGTACACCACCCATGCATGGCAGGCAATAAAGGATGCCCACCATGTGAAGACTGTCACGACACAAGAAAGAAAATGCCAGGCAAAATTCCACCAATTCTCAGGGGCACATCGATCGTAGTTATTATCACCACCCAGTAACAGCTGACCTTTCTAGAGCATTTATGCACCAAGCACTGTACCAAGCACTATATATGCATTATTTCAGGTAACCCTCACAATGAAATCTACAATTGCCACCACTGGAGAGACGGAGAAATTGAGGCTTTGAGTGGTTAAGTTGCTTGCCCAAGATCACAGAGCGAGTAAGGGGCAGAACCAACATCCATTTCATCCAAGGACCCCAGTCCTCGCAGACATCTATCCTCAACTAGTCCTTGAGAAAACAGGAGTCTAGGGTGTTTTGGTGTTGTTGTTTTTTTTTAACTTTTGTCTTTTTTTTAAACAAACAAAAGCTGTTTCCTTGCAGGAGTTATTTAAACGGTTTTAGGAGCCATTGGAAATCTATTACAGCATTACAGTTCCAAAGCTATTAAATGCAAAGTACATATACAGATACAATATATTATATCATACTAAGTGCTGCATACAATGAATCAGGAAATTGAAGCAAACAAAAAATAGTCAACAGCTTTATATAAAACACCCAACTGCTTACCAAGCAGGTAACAAATGGTTAGGAAACGCGACCTACTAATTAAGGTATTCAAACATACAGATCTATCTAGCCTTACCTAAAATCTCTTATCTATTCTAAATGAATAATAATTTTCAACCAATGTTGGTAATTTGAATACTTAGCTCCACCTAAGCTCAAATCAGAGTCCTATATATGAACACCCTTTCAAAAATAAACATTTTTTAAAAATTATGGCAAAAAACAGGGGGTGCCTGGGTGGCTCAGTCGGTTAAGGCATCTGACTTTGACTCAGGTCATGATCTCGACGTTCCCAAGTTCGAGCCTGGTGTCGGGCTCTGTGCTGACAGCTCAGAGCTTGGAGCCTGCTTTGGATTCTGTGTCTCCCTCTCTCTCTGCCAAACCCTCACTCGTGCTCTGTCTCTCTCTCTCTCAAAAATAAATAAACATTAAAAAATTTATGCCGATACACGAACACCCTTTTACACACTTATCAATATTATAGATACAATTGATTTAAGTTAATTTTACATGTATTTTTGACAATGTTCTGGGAGTTGTTTGAAATAGAAAGATAGATAAGATTTGGTCTGTACTTTCACAGGGATTCCAGAGAGTGCATAAAGCAGAAACCTCTGCAAATAACTGCAGAATGAGACAAATGAGATCATAAAAGTTCAAAATGCAAGGGAAGAATAGAAATGGAAATTTTATTTAGTGTGTGTACTTATTAAAGTAATAGGAACCCCCCAAAAAGATGGTTACTTTCCATTTTTATTAAACTTACTTATTCATTTTTTTCCCTCTCCAATCTAATATCTTTGACATCCCAAGTCCCTTTAATTGAGAACTCTCCCAAAGTGAATTTTCTTCTCATGAGCACGGAACCTACGCTCTATTATATATCTATCCTGGCCCTCACTGAATGTTATCCCCTTTTCATTCTAAAATACAAAGTAATACAGAACATAAAATTTTGATGCATAAAATGCCTTTGGAATTTGAAGGCATAAAGAACTCCATTCGTGCCAAAGGAAGACCGGCTTCAAATTTTTAGACTGAAATTTTAGATTTAGAAATATTTGGTTGGTAATTTTGTATCTCTCTAAGGACATGGAAAATGTACTTTTTAAAAAGATTTTCTTTTTAAGTACTCAATCTCCTACATCCAACATGGGGCTCGAACTCTATGGCCCCACGATCAAGAGTCACATGCTTCCCCGACTGAGCCAGCTAAGGCAACCGCAGAAAATAATCTTTTTTTTTTTAATAACTGTAGATTTAGGAAAATTTCCCATAAGCTTTCCCAGACCCATGCTTCCCCTAATAAAAATGTATTCTCTCAACAGCTGACTCTTCAAGGCATCTTGACTACTCCCTGCCCCTCTACAAATACTATTATCTGCTAACATTCGAAAGTCTACATAAATAAGGACATGCTGGAGAAGGCCTTACCAGAAAGATGGTGCCAGTAACCACAAGACCCTGAAGGTCCAGTTCTTCAAGACAAACTGTCCGGTTTCTGCAACAACAAGAATGTAGTACAATGAGGAAAAACCTCACTGACACAGGAGATGGTGTTGACCATCAGGTACAGCCTGAGTTTGTATCCTAATTTGTATCATTGTTTGGCCCCTAATTAGCGTGCAACCAACCAAGTTTTGAGACAATTCAGATGTTGATGCTATTAGTGAATCACTCAGGTGTGCGAATGGGATTGTGGGTACACGGAGGGAATTTCTATCTTCTAGAGAAATGTTCAAAAATATTTATGGGTGAAATGATGGGATGTTTGGGTTTTGATTCAAAATAACCCAGTAGGAAGAGGACTGTGACAGGCTTAAAGATGAAATAAGGTTGGCCTGGCGGAGGGGTACACGGAGGATAATTATACTAATCTCTCTAACTTTGTGTATGTTAGGAAGCTTCCACTGTATATATCTCAAAAAGATGTAAAATTTAAGGGAAAAAATAGACACTGCTTAAAATATGGCACAATGTCTCTTATACAAGAGACTATTAACATTAATAGTCATGTTAATTTTAAGAACTATTGGTCATAAATATGTCTATAAATATGGACATGGCTATACATAGAAAATAACAGTAACTGAAGAAAAGGAAATGTTTTAAATTTAACTTAATCTCATTGTTCTTTTGCCTGTATTTGGGAATAGAAACCATTTCGCTAGCTGAATCAACCACAACTATCCCCAAGCGTTCTTAATTACTGATTTCAATAAATATATTCCTGCAGTGTAAGAAATGAAGTTTATACCCAGGTATTTCTCTTACAAGCATCCATTTTGACATATAAACCTTGATTGTGTGAAAGTGGTTGGGCAACAGGGAACTGGCCTTGAACTGAGTTTCAAACTGGATTCTCTTGTCTATTTGGGGGGTTGGGGCAGGAGGGTGGCAAATGTTGGTATTATTAGCTATCACCTATGTAAGTCCTTTGAACCAAGCGGTGTATATGGAATCAATGAGTACTTAAAGCACATTTAAATAATTTCAGTTCTGATATGAAAAAAACAGCCATTAAGCCTAAACGACTTTTTGTCGAAATTACAGGTAGGTGGGCATTTGCAGAGTAAGATCACAGTTCGGATTGGAATCAGATATTCACGTGGGGAGGCAGTTCTGAACATTCTTTCTAATTTTTTTTTTTGACATTTATTTATTTTTGAGAGACAGAGAGAGCCAGAACATGAACAGGGGAGGGGCCGAGACATGGAGAGACCCAGAGTCTGAAGCAGGCTCCAGGCCCTGAACTGTCAGCACAGAGCCCGACGCGGGGCTTGAACTCATGAGCGGTGAGATCATGACCTGTGCGGAAGCTCAACCGACTGAGCCAGCCAGGCGCCCCATGAACATTCTTTCTAAATGCTGGGGGTGGGGAGGAGGGGAGGGGATGAGAGCTGAGTCCCCTCGCGCTTCCATCTTACTCCTTTTCTCGTAGTTTCTGCTGTTTCTCTAGACTTTCTGCCCTGACTGCTTCCAAGTCGAACGAAAGGAGCAGAGGCCTCTGGCTCAGGCGGACTGGAGATGAAAGACAGTCACTAGCTACATTCCCATGAATATTTTGAAACACTGTGGACACCCCAAGTATGCAGGGCCAGGGCGCAGAGAACGTCACCGCCGCCGACGTGCCTCGTCGCACCCGTGCAGGCGGGGCGTGCTGGCCACCGAGGGACACACGTAGGCTCCCGCGTTCAGCCACCTCAGTCCCCGGGTCGCCAGTCCCCGGGTCCTTCCCCGCAGGGGCCCCCACCTTCACTTCCAGGCCAGTGGGCCCGGACCTTCTGACCTGAGGGTGAACTGAGGGCTGGTCCTGCCCCAGCCCAGCCTCCCCACCCCTCCCTAGCGTGTCCCCAGGCAGATGCCGCCCAGCATCCTGGCCACATCACGACCCTTTCGCGCGCAGATCCAGTGCGGGGCGCGGGGCGCGGGGCGCGAACTGGAGCGCAGAGTCAAGATTCCCGAGAGGAAACAGAGGCTGGCGGGGCAGCGAGGGGCTGCGATGCTTCTGCCTCCACCGCCGAGGGCGGGGGGCAGGGAGGGGGCGGCGGCTGCGGGTCCGCAGGCGGACTGGGGGTCGCAGTACCGCCGGCATCTACATCCAGGGGTACCTGGGTTCTTGGGGTTCACCAGGGGAAGGAAGACGAAAACCCACCTGGGAAGGAAAAACCCACTCTCGTGACTCCCCCGCCTCCTCGCTGGCGGTCTGGGGTCCAGTCTGGTAGTTCTGCGTGGACCTGGGCGTGGCCAAGTGCCCTCTAGGCCGTGACCTTCCCACCGCTCCGCCCACGGGCTACGCAGAGAAGCTCCGAGGGCCGCTGGGGAACCGACGGCGCCAGCTTGGAGGCTGCCGGACGCTGGGGGCAGCAAGGCGTTTGGTGGCACGCCGAGCCTGGGGCAGGGAGCCGGGAGGGAGGGTTTGGGCACCCAATCCTTTTAGGCCCGGGTCTCCGCGACCCGCCCGAGGCCCAGGCAGGAGAAGGTCGCCGGCGCCCACAGGGTTAGTGGTTCAAAAACCAAATAGGGCCCGGTACCACCGCCTAAGGGTCTTGGGGCGAGTTTCCCAATTTCACCAACTCGCAAACTTTTTGCCTGTGTAACGGGGACTCGAGCGTGTCTTTGGCACTGGGTGCTGGGAGGGTTAAAGGGGAACCCAGTGCCCGGCAGGCAGGGAACGGGGGACAACGGTTAGCCGCCATCCTTACTGTTGTTAGTTATTAGTGTTATTATCAGCCGGTGGGACCCGAGGGAGAGTCGCTTTCCCCGGCTTACCTCCAGCCCTGGCCCCAGCCTCTCCGCACCTCCCAGGCCCGCCGGCGGCTCAGGAAGCCTCAAGAAGTCAGCCCGGCCTCAAGAAGACGAGCCCGAAGGTCGAAGGCGACCCCACAACTCCGAGGCGCTGTGCCTTGCGCGCCACGCAGGGGTTCCCAACAGACCCGCGCAGTGGTCTTGACAGCAGCGGGGTCCCGGGAGGCGCCCGGACGCCCCTGCGCAGACCCGCCGTGCTGCGCCGCCTGCAGCGAGGGCTCGTCCTCACCACGGGGGCTGGGGTGCCGGGCGGGTCACCCCGCGGGCCCCCCGGAAGGCCCCACCTGTGCGCGCGGACCCCTAGCGCCACGTTCGACTGGAGATCAACGTTTAATTCACTCTCTCACCGAATAGACGGTTTTCTTGAAAATTCATCCCTCGATACGGTTTCATTAGGTAAAAAGTATAAAAAGTAGGAGAGTGGGGGCCGGCTTGGGCCAGGTTGTGACCCTCAGACACCGGTGCTCGTGACCGTGCTGGTCTGGGGCCCAGGGAAGGAAGACACCGGCGTCGGCCTCGAGTGTCGCCTCTGGGCTCGGTGGCGGCTCCACCTGTCGCTCCCACAAAGTTTGTTGACTGAATAAAAGGAACGCACGTAGGCCTGGAAATGTGTTCGCACAAAGGGCAAGGGGGAGTTGGCACCGGAAGGGGAGAGTTCTTGGTGTGACAGAGGCTCCCTTTATTACGGCTTGTTGCCATATACAGGTAACCCCAGACCTGCAGAACGCGCTAAACGGATCCTAAAGCTGGGGTGCGGAGGGTGAGACAGAACCCGGCAAAACTCTGAGAAGGGAAGGTGGCGGGGGAGAAGGGGCTTTTGGTCGCGCATCGGGGCCACAGAAGGGAACTGCTGGTGCCCGCGGAGCGAGCGGGCGAAGGCTGCGCTGCGCGTGCAGGGCCGAGGGAGAACGGAAGCCCGCGTCTAGGCGGCCCCCAGGGGCTGGGCTTGGGAACCTTCCAGAACGTCTCCAGAACCGTACTACTTCAAGCCCGGAGCAGGTGAGGATCGCGCGCAGGACTTCCAAGGAGGTTCTGAGAGATGGGGAGGAGATGAGAAGCTGGGGTAAAAGTGGACCAATTGGACAGCCGTAAAAATGTGTGCCTCGATCTGCCCTCCCTCCCGGAACCAGAAATTCACAGCGGGAACTGCGGAGCAGGTGAAGGGGAACGACCTTCTCACACTTTCCAAGTGGCTTCTCCCACAGCAGCACCAAGGAATGTGGTTCTTCTGAAACAGGAGCCCTGAGAGGCCGGGGAGTGCGGCGGGGTCTCTCGGAACTTGCTGGAACTTGCTGTCTCAGGGTCTATTTCCTGATGCGCGTCTTCCTCTTGTTTCCCACCCACCCGGTCGCCAGAAGCCTGAGGACAGTGAAACCCTTCTGGTGGCAAAGTTCTCGGAGAACTTCTTTTCGAAACAACTAAATTCTTCCTGTACCAAAGAAAGGGGCCCATGCGCCCTTAGAAGGCATC